ATGGCGAAGTGCATGCATATCGCACAGCACAATGGCAGACCGGAGAGCTTCAAAGTTGCGAGTCATGGTTACCTATATAGCCAGGCCGGAGCACATGCGGGGAAGCTCTCACGCCATCGGACCCAGGACCATTCTCATCGCTTATCGAATGAATAGACGAACTCCTACTCCATGTTCTTGTCCCAAACCTGTCGCGGATATTAACTGACTGGGCTATGTGGATTTGCCAGTATTGACCGCGGAAATTTCTGGAAGTTAGGTCGACGATGTCAAGACCTTATCAATGTAAATCCCCTCGAAACAGCCGAGCATGGACAACTAGAACCTAGCACTTTGTGTTGCGGCATCATGGCAGAGGCACTCGCACTCATCAGCAGCCTTACGGCTATCATGCAACTGACATCTTACATGGTCAAATCAACCAAGGACCTAATACATTGCGTGAAAATCATACGCGATGCGCCGAAAGAGATTGAACATTTCATACTTGAATCATCCATCTTTACCGAACAATTGCGTCTATTTTACGATCTGGCCAAGAACTCTGCTAATGGATTAGAGGAGAAGGTCAAGGCTAAGAGAGCTAGATTGGTTCGGAAGATTGTCAAGCAATGCAAATCCGTCAAGAGAGACTTCGCTAGTCTCGTAAAATGCTTTATCGAAATTAACGGCACTGACACTGTGCCGTATAATAAACTCTTGTCGCGAATTTTATGGCTTTGGAAGAGGCCGGACATACCGGAGCTGCGATTGAGCCTCCAAAGTGCCATAGCCAACGTGATGTTATTGTGCAATCTGTTCACATGGGAAGACTTGATAAGAAAGAACGAGAGCAATGAGAAGATGTATGTCGAGTAGTATATGAGTCAATGATTTCCTGCTGATTTTGTCAGTGAGATGCTCCAAGAGCAGCTTCAAAACTTGGTATCGACGGCCAGGAAACTCAGACGTGAGTTAGCGAACCATCAGAGACGCAAGCTGCCACCACAATGGGTGCCAGAGACAATACCAGATAAACCGTACGAGGATATCACGGAAGATACCCGAGAGTTGGAACGATATGTGGTCAACATGATCCGGTCGCATGCTCGAGAATCAGGACTTCCTCCGAGATCTTCACGCCAGGAGTCTTCGAGTCCTATAGAAGAGGCTCGGGTACCTGCGTCTTCAATAAGGTCTGAAACTATACCAACTGAAAGCGCTAGTATTCTTCGTCCCCGGGCGGGCGAGATAAATGTTCCGCACGCTTTCCTTGCTGAAGAGGCTTCCAGTCACGCTACTGCGAGCAGTGTTCAGGAAGAGCGAGGCCTATCAAGGACCTGGATAGATGAGTCTTCGTCGGCGGCATCTAGGCGACGATTCCACGAAAGGACATTCGGCAGCAGAGTGAGGGATAACGGCCATGGCGTTTACATAGACGTAGGCGAATGGCCGGAGGAAGTACAGAACGTTGATACTGGCAGCACTGAAGCTGTTGAGATTGCGAATACTGAGTAGTCACCACAGACATCTAACCAATGGATGGTTAGGTTGGGGGAAATTGGAGGAGCAAATAGAAGATGGTAGTGTCCGCAAGACACCTGGCGCTTCCGAGGGTTTAAGGACAGACCACGACGACTCTCGCCCACCTGGTGTCGTCGAAGAGAGCGAGGTACGGCGGGGTTCATCGATACGGTCATCCAGTTCTCCGGTAGTAGAGGAGGAAGGCTCTCTAGAAAGCTATAGCAGTTCGGTTGAAGATATGTAGGTAGTGTTGGGCCGTACAGGCCAGTACCGCCTTTCGGTGGACCAAGGTCAAGAAAACGACCAAGGCGGCCGAGACCATAGCCTCCCATAGAAGAGATAGATATGAATAAGGTTAGATAAATAAGATCGCCAAGGCGTCAATTCATCCTTATTTTCGATCCTTCTGTCGAAGTCTATCTTCCGTCTACATACATGCCTGCATATTGAAAGGGTCATTGCGGAGTACAGGACCCCACAAGAAGAAGCCAATAAAAAATCAATTACGGTTGGGTGCATGCCTTGAAAGGTAAGCGCAGAATTATTGAACCAATCAAATTAAGCTGCACATGTACTTTAGTCTTCCCGCAGTTGAGGAGATGGTCAACATATTTTTGTTATTGAATTTTCATTCGTGTTGAGTTCCCAAGAATCATTGGCGTTGACGAAAACTTGGGTAGGAAAGATTCTCGGATCACGGGTACAGCATTGAATTTATTTAAATGCTCGTATGGGGTAAGGTGGGACCCTGAATTTTGGATTTTAAGGATTAGGATTGGCTAGGCGCTGTTTAGTTCAATACGCTGCCCCTGACTACCGGGAAAACGGGTCTAAAAATTCAATGTCTTTCCGCCCGAAAATCAAAAACAAGAAAGTTGACCGCAATGTGCGGATGGAGGTCTTTCCGTCTGATTTTTTGTCCATCGAGTCTTAATTTCAAGTGACGAGCATTTAGTTGCCCGTTGTCCACTCCTTCAACGTTTCGTGTTTGGATCGGATTATTCTTCAAGATGTCTTCGCGATACTCCTTGCGCGCGACTCCTAGGTATGCATGCATCTCTCCTTGCATTATGCATTATTTGTTTATGGCGGGTTGTACAATGGCATGGCATTTGGCATTTTGGGTCGCGAAAACTTCCAATAGGAGGGGGATCGGTGGCAAATTTTGTTTCTCTCTTAAATATGTGACCAAGATGTAATTGCAGGAAAAGAAAACAGTCACTGACGCCAACTATGGCTATGCAGAAAAAAGGAGCTTTTCGACGGTATGGTCGAAACTCCTGGCCGCCGTTCGACGCGCCGCAAGTCTCAGTTCCCCCCGATTGACGGCGCGTCCGACGATGGCGACTCGAGCTCTGCTGCCGAGACCACCAGATCTACCCGGTCTCGATCTGTGCGACGTCGGGGAGTCGGCAAATTCGTCGAGAACATGGACGACTCTGATGCCACCACGCCAAAAGAAGAAGAGTTCAGCCCTCTTCCGCAGGAGAAGCTCATGTCCGTCGTCAACAAGGTGGAGGAGCCGATAGAACCGGCTCCTGAAGCAAACGGCATTGCAACGAGTTACTCCAATGGTCTTACCAATGGACACGCTAACGGCTATATGAACGGGCACGCGAAGGACCAGGTCATCGACGGTTGGAAGCCAGGTTCGGATCCTAAAATCGATCACTCTGGTGTTTTCGAGTTCGGCGGTACTTTGGGCACTTCCGCCCTTATGATTGGATTTCCCACGCTCATGTACTACATGTGGATTGGCGCCACCTACTACGATGGCAAGCTGCCTTTACCGGCCGAAGGGGAATCTCTGGCTGACTTCGGCGGGCGCATGTGGAATCTTGTCTATACCGGCGCGTTCCCTAGCCTGCGAGCATGGAAAATCTACTGGGTCTACTTCATCTTCGAGATGGCATGTTATCTCTGGATGCCCGGTGTCTGGGGCTACGGAAAACCGCTCCCCCACGAGGGAGGCAAGCAGCTCAAGTACTACTGCTCCGCTTACTCCAGTTTCTACTTGACCATCCTCGTCATGGGTGTGCTGCATTTTACCGGCTTGTTCAAAATCTATACCTTCCTGGACGAGTTTGGGCCCATTCTGTCTGTTGCCATCCTCTCCGGTTTCCTGTGCTCCGTCGTCGCGTACTTCTCCGCCCTGGCTCGTGGCGCTCAGCACCGTATGACCGGCTACCCGATCTACGACTTCTTCATGGGTGCCGAACTAAACCCCCGTATGTTCGGCATTCTCGACTTCAAGATGTTCTACGAGGTCCGCATCCCCTGGTATATCCTGTTCGGTCTTAGCTGCGCAGCTGCAGCTCGTCAGTACGAGAACTACGGCTACGTGTCGGGTGAAGTTCTGTTCCTGGTTATGGCCCACTATCTCTATGCCAACGCATGCTCTAAAGGGGAGCAGCTTATCATTACGACCTGGGACATGTACTACGAGAAGTGGGGATTCATGCTCATTTTCTGGAACATGGCGGGCGTGCCTCTCTCGTACTGCCACTGCACTCTGTACCTGGCCAACCACGACCCTGCGGAGTATGCCTGGAACAAGTACGCTCTGGCTCTGCTGTTCGTCACGTACATTTGCGTGTATGTCGTATGGGACCAGGCCAACGGACAAAAGAACGCGTTCCGCTCCATGGAGCGCGGCACCCTAGTGAAACGCAGCACTTTCCCGGCGCTGCCCTGGATCTACATCGACAACCCGAAGACCATCGACACGAACGTCGGAGACAAGCTTCTCGCCGACGGCTGGTATGGATATGCGCGCAAGTTACATTACACCTGCGACGCATTCTTTGCCATCAGCTGGGGCTTGATTACCGGTTTCAACAGCCCCTTTCCCTGGTTCTACCCGGTCTTCTTCTGCTGCATGATCACGCATCGGGCCATGCGCGATATCGAGCGCTGCAAGAACAAGTACGGCGACGCGTGGAAGGAGTACGAGAGGCAGGTGCCGTACCTTTTTATCCCAGTAAGTCATCCAACAGAAAATCCATTCGAGGTCTCAACTAATCAATCCGCAGTATGTGATCTAAGCTCTGCTTGGAAAGAACCGAAATATCCAGGTCTTATTTTACCCTTTATCAGGATATCTACCAACAGACGCTGAGTGAGGGCCGTAATGTGCATGCAAGCAAACTCGTAGCATAGCCACTGGCGTTTTTTCTATGTATATATTGGAGATTGGTCTACGACTTTGTAATGGCTATGAGCCAAGCGGCATGGGTAACGAGTGCTGTGAAGAACGAGTCGAAACGTAATGCCCCCATGACGGCCCCTTAATAAAATTAATTAAATCAACGAGAGAATGCGTTTATGGATCAAGTTCGACGAGTGATGGTTTAGGCATGGGCTTTCTTCACCTCCTGCCTGATCTCTTAGGCACCCCCTAACCTCGCAAACATACTCATCTAGTTTTAACTGTTGGTGTCGTATATGAGCCCGGAGAAGGGATGGGAGGAGGGCCCAAGACTAAAAAAAGAGAAGAATGCATCAGCCGTGAATTGAACACGGGGCTCATCGAGAGCAACGATGGATTTTACCACTAAGCTACTAATGCCTGCCCGTGCGGTTATCATCACGGCGGGGAATGGTGGTACGTAATTGCTAGTATTACGACTTATCTAGTTTTACAAGACCGTAAGGTACAGTTTATTTGCCGGTGGTCGCTTTCTATTACGCAGATGATGGTGTGACCTTGGAGTTATAACAAGATCGAGATTATGATTATTTCGTTTCACTGCCATTGCCATTGCCAAGCTATGCTATTCCCATCCCGTCGTAAGAGTCATATAGATACATACGGCTTTCATATATCGAGCAAGCAAGTAGCACAGGCTACCGCCAGGTAGGTTGCTGTACCTCTCTGCTTGCATTCGTCCCGTGTACACTACCCATTCAACCCAAGCCGTCGTATGAAGCGCAAACCTTTATTTTACTCTCCCGTCTCTATCCCCCGCATCTCCTTAAAACAAGCACTCGCGAATCCGCCCCGTGCCGCCGAGCTCGTACTCGACCCAGCGGGCGACGCCGCGGCGGCCGGCGACCAGCAGCGCGCCGGGGTTCATGACGTGGCAGCCCTCGTAGGTGATGCAGAAGGGCGGGGCGGTGGGGTCGGCCAGCACCAGCGCCGTCGGCAGCGGGTACAGGTGCAGCGCGCTCGCGTGGTCCCAGTGCACCGGCCGGATCGCGTGCCGGAACGGGCACAGGTACCCCTGGTCCAGCACCGTCTTGACCAGCTTCCGCGCCGACCGCACGTCGTGCGGCACTTCGCCTTCCGCTCTGGCGTTGGCGTTGGCGTTGGTGGCGGGCGGCGCCGAGTCCACGTCCATGGCGTCCGTGCTGTCGAGCGCGTTCGCCATGTCCACGTCGTCGTCGTCGTCGTCGTCGCCGGCACCGTTTGCTGTAGTAGGGAGGCCATGGCCAGGGGCAGGCGCAGGAGGCCCGTCCTCCGGATTGTCCCCGAGCCCCGGTTTCGAGGCCTTGAGACGCACAGCCGTCCGGCGCATGCGCGCGGCCATGTCGTCGCGGAACAGCACGATCTCGTGCGCGGGGCCGAAGACCGTCAGACGCGCGGGGTTGCTCGTCCACACGGCCTCGCCGGCGCCGCCCTTCTTCTCGCCGGCGTCGGCGTTGGCCGCGGCGAACGCGCGGCGCACGCGGCTCGTGAACAGGTCGGGGACGGCCTTGCGCGGCAGCGGCACGGCGGCGCCGGCGCCGAAGCTCGAGGCCCAGCCGTCGTTGTCGCCGGGCACGAACACGAAGGTGGCGCTCTGCAGCAGCGTGGGGAAGTCGGCCAGCGCCGACGCCAGCGCGTCGAAGTACTCCTTGTACTCCACGGAGCCCCCCGACGCGCCGCCGCCCGCCATGACCGCGTGCTGCGTGAAGTTGCCGGCCAGCACGAAGGCCACGGGCGCGCGGCCCTCGGGCTCCGCCGCGTACAGGGCCAGGATCTTGCGCAGGGCCTGCAGCGCGCGCGGCTGGTCGAGGTGCAGCTCGCCGACGACGACGACGCGCGCGCAGGTCGGCTGCGCGGCGGCCTCCGGGTCTAGGGTAGAGGACTGCGTGGAGGAGGAGGACCGCGTGAGGCGCTGCTCCAGCTTGCGCATCTTGGCGCCGACGGCGCGCTCGCTGCCGACGCCCAGGAAGTCGATCCAGCCGAAGCCGCCGCCGATGGTGTGGTCGTCGGGCCCGCTGACGCCGAGCGTGGCCTTGCGCTTCTCGCACGGCGGCTGCCCGATGAAGAACCCCTGGAACCGCCCGCCGATGATGCCGCCCACGCCGTTGCTGTTGCCCAGGCCCTTGCCCGTCGACTCTTCCTCTTCCTCGTACACGCCGTCCACGAGCACGATCATGCCCGGCGTGAACCAGGCCGAGTCTTCTGGTATGGCCACGGCGTGCGCTACGTCTAGCGAGATGGTTCCGGTTAGGTCGCTGATGGCTAGGTTGCCGGTGGGCAGGACCGAGAGCAGGCCGAGGAGCATGTGGTGACTGCCGTGCCGGCCGAGCAGGTTTGCTATCGGGGTGATCTTGTAGTTCTGTTGGGTGGTCAAGTTAGAGGAGGCAGACCGTTTCAAGGACGGAGCTGCTTTCGTGGTGGCCACACTCGAGCTCTGGAACGATTCGTTTCGGAGGAGTCTCTGGTGTATGACGTTATATCTATTACGGAATAGTGTCGTCTTGTGCGATGCTGGCGGCATCAAAGATGGTTTCGAAGAGTCCCTATGCTTATTATAAGTTTTGCTAGTCAGAGAATGCATAGAGGATATGCATACTTCTCGAAATGCTTCTTGGTGACATTGTATAGCAGCCGTGGTTGGTCATTTGCACCCACGACCTTTAACCACTTTCTTGGATGGTTCAGCCCTTCGTCATCAACCTCCTCTTCCTCCGCAACGCCGAGCGCTGACATGCCGAAACTAGTGTTGCTGTCGTCGCGTGTTAGATTCTTGATGGGTCTTATTCCTAGCCGGGTATTTGTCTGATCGACCTCTTGACTGGAATCTAGAACCAAGCTGTTTTGCCGATTTAGTTCTCGTCCCGTCACTATTCTTCCTCCGGTCATATTCCCCTCCAACGTCTTGAGGATGTCTTTCAGCTCATTGCTAGCACCATCCACTATCACGCCTCCATTTCGGTTCTTCCAGCTCTTAGCTACCTCCTCCAAGACCTTCTCCGCTAGCCCCTCTTCGCGCCATCCCGAACCACAATGCCGGCCGATAAAAGTAGCTAATTCCTGCAGTGCGGTTGACGTAAGGGTCAGACTGTGTTTTTTGGTAAAGGTTCGGAATGCCAGTGGTCTTAACGTGGCAGGCGGGAGAAGAATTGGCAGGATAGTGGCCTTGGTTGGCGGCGCTATGGCAAAGGGCTTGAGGGAATGCGCTGGGGTCCCAAAGGCAGGAGACGAGGATGGAATTGGGTTCGCAGGGGCCGGCGTTTTCGGCGCGAAGATAGGCGCTGTTTGATGCTTTCTTGGTTGCATCTTGAGGGCTTCTGATTTGTATAGATTGTCAACCTCTTGAATCGTTTTATGTTAGGTATTTCTTAAGAGTTCTATTCTAGATTGGAGACGCGATTTACGCGTCGAGCGCGTTAATTGGCGATAGGACAGGGGTTCAATTGATAAGATAGGTAGATAAGCTGATAAAGTTTTACACTACGTCAGTGAAAAATGTCGAGCTCCATTGGTGCACAGAAAGCTTCAAAGCTTGCCTCCACCAAAAGTAATACAACTTTCTCAATGCTTTAATTCGCAGTCTCAAAATGCTACTATCACGGGCCCGGGTAGCCCCGACATGTAGGACGCTATTCACGCATCGTGGCGTCTCTACATTGAGCACCAATCCCTATATAGTTAGTAGTCTGCAATCATACCTATCTACACATTCAATATGGTCTCCTTTGCTTACAGTTACCATTGTATTAGAAAGTCTTTCCTAATGCCTCGGTCAACAACGCGCACTTGCTCACATTCCTCGACACGAACCCCCCAAGTCATAGACTAGCCATTGGCTCGACGACGGAAGTACCACCGACACCACGATCCTTCTCCGAGAACCACGAGTTTTTTTCTATCCTAACCGATGTCCTTCGCAAGCATGCCGCGCAGGATCCGGGCTTAATATCCCAGGCGCAGGCATTTGCCGGACCAGGTGGGGCGACTCTAGGCTCGGGTGGTGCCTTCTTTCCTCAGCAGCGAAAGCAGCGACGCACGAAAGGGACGGCAGCTGGCTTGGGTGGAGGCGGCGGTGCTGGCGGAGGCGGCGGCGGAGGGGCAAGTGCCCAAGGAGGAGCCGGGGGCGGGGGAGTAGGCGGACACATTCATCTTAGCGACTTGCGGAATCCGCCCGACTACGGAAGAATCGCATGGCCCGAGGATATTCTGGGTAGCATCGAAGTCGATAGATCTGGGAATATTGTAGGAGAGTTCGAACCCAGCGGGACGTACCGCATTGTCACCAACGAGGGAATGTAAGTTCCAGCTCGGGCATCCCCAACCGACGTTGCTGAGTTTTGGCTAATCTTGTGTCTGTCTCTAGCCTGGGCCTTAGCGATTATCTCAGGACAAAGCTTGTTGAAAGGTTGAAGGAAGAGGAGAGAAAGGCATAAAACTACGTCATAAGTATAATCGATCAGAGCTTGCTTGTTACAACTTGATTCATGACGAAATGAAGCATACTTCATACAAACGGTGTGGATGGATTTCACCGCCTCCAAGCCAGCAGTAGGACTTGAACATTGAATTTGAACTTGGACATAGATAATTCCGACATCTACATCTTTGTCAAATAATAGTTCGTAGCAAGCTGAGATATATATCATTACCTACCTACCTATCTTTGAATATTCCGTTCCAAGAGCGTCAAAGCAAAAGCAAAGGTTGTGATGCATGCATGTGCGATTGCAGCTCTTTACTCCGTTAAAATGTCTGAAATGTCTGATCCATCCGTGCCTGCCGGTTACCAGTCCTCGTGTTACCCGAGACATCTATCCGAGACCCGCATTACCTAAGCTGTGTGATACAAATTTGAAGTTGCGGTGCACAAGATTGTTTGCCCTGCACCTGCACGGCGATACTTGCCGATCCAGCTTACGTACATAACGGTTGTGTCCCGGCCAGCCGGCCAGTCTTTCTACGATCTTTCCCGACCCTAAACCGATCTGTGATACCATCCTAGGCCAAGGCAGTAACTAAGGCAGTACATAGTAAGAACGTTGCTGCAAGTGTCGTTCGACATTTTCGACAATTGACATGTGAATTCTACACCTTCTATCTAGGTCACAGTGTTTTGAGCCAATCGCTTGCCGTTTCCCAGAGCCTTATTATCGAATCGACGAATGGACGAATATCTCGCGGATAAGACGGGGGGTCATTGCTTTTCTCAATTTCTCCATATGTACACACATACCTTAGGGTCGTTCTTTTTTTAATCTTCTCTCTTCCATCTTCAACATCTGCAAGGCACGCAACCACTTACTTACGTTACCACCTATGTACATGTACTCGGATCAAATTATGTACTATATGTAGGTGGGATCTTGCATCACGATTGATCTAGG